GAGCCTCGAGAAGCTTTCGTGGCCAGCGGTAAGCGTTGGCAATCCCCCTTTATTCAAAACCTGGAGAACCTTCTCTTGGCTCCCTTTTGGTTCCCGCTTGTCTTCCTTTTAGCTCCGTCGCGGCTCTATGCTGGCTCCCTTTTGGCTCCCTTCGGGCTCCCTCTTGGCTCCCTCTGATCTCCCTATTGGCTTCCTTATGGCTCCGCATCAATGGATGCCTTTTGTAGCAGTTTTCAAATGGATTCCTTTTGCAACGGCTTCTGAATGTATTCCTTTTGTGGCAGAGTGCAAAGGGATTGCTTTCGTGGCGGATTACAATAGGATCCCTTTTGTAACGAATTTCAAGTTGATCCATCTTGTGGGAGGCCCACCTGGTAGTAACCCAGGGTCCAAAAGGAGGAGAGTTTTTTGTGAACTCGTTGAACATTTGTGTTTTTTTGCTGCCATTTTTTGTCAAGGTGTGAGACAACAAACATTTATAAAACACATCATGTCCCACCCCCTGGGAGCCCAAACCATATAATGACGGAGCATTTTTTATATATGACTATATAATATATATATATATATAATATATATATAATATATATATATATATATATATATATATATATATATATATATATAGCACATAGTCTGGTTTGGACTCCCCGGGGATGGGACATGCTGTGTTCGTTTATATGTTTTTGGCCCCACACCTTAAAAATGTGAGAGTCGTGTGAATGTATCAATTTCAAATAGCTTCAAGATTGATGTCTTCTCCGTTTGGACCCTGGGTTACTACCAGGTGGGCCTCCCACAAAAGGAATCAACTTGCAATTCGTTACAAAAAAGGGATCCTATTGTAATCCGCCGCACATGGAAACCTGTTGTATTCCGCCACAAATCGAATTCATTTGGAATCCACCACAGAAGGAGTCAATTTGTAATCCGCCACAAAGAATCAATTTGTAATCCGCCACAAAAGGGATCTTTACCACTCCACGCTATCGCAAAAAAAAGAATACACATTTGCAAGTTGAGCAACAGATATGCAAGGGAAAAACAGAAAACAACACATCGCTAAATATAACCAGGTTTTGACCTGACGGGGGGGGGGTCGGGGAGGGAGGGGAGTCCCCCCCCTGGTTTTGATCGACGGCGCCGAGTGTTTGGGCGGGGGGGTCGCCCCCCGGTTCGAAACGCGCCGCCGAATCTTCCCAAGGCGAGCGGCCGTGAAACGCGCTCTCTCAGAGGTGGTGATGCCAGGCCGTGGCGTGGGCGAGGTGGGGGGCGTTGGTGGGTTTCCGGTGAGAAAATGTCATGTGGGGGGGCACGAGAGCAGACGTCGCTGGGGGTGGGGGTGCCGGGCCATGGCGTGGGCGAGGTGGGGGCGTCGGCGAGGTTCGGGCGAGAAAGTCAGGCGGGGGGGGGCCTGGAACGGGCGTCTCTGGATGTAGAGATGTCGGGCCGCTGCGCGGGCGAGGCGGGGGGTGTTTGTGGGCTCCTGGCGAGAGACTGTCGGGTGGGGGGGGGGCCCGAGAATCGACGTCTCTGGGGGCGGAGATGCTGGGCCGCGGCGTGGGCCAGGGGGAGGCCCAAAAACGAGCGTTTCTGGAAGCGGGAATGTCGGGCCGCGGGGTGGGCGAGGTTGGGGGCGCTGGTGGGTGTCGGGCGTGAAATTGATTGTCGGGTGGGGGGGTCAATGAGCAAGCGTCTCTGGGGGTGGGGATGCCAAGCTGTGGCGTGGGCCAGGTGAGGGGCGTTGGTGGGTTTCGCACGACGTATCGTACGGTGGAGGGGCCCGAGAAAAAAACAACTCTGGAGGCGGGGGTGCCTGGCCGCGGTGTGGGCGAGGTGGGAGGCGTTGGTAGAGTCCGCGCGCGAAATTATCGGATGGGGATGCCGGCCCGTGGTACGGGCCAGGTGGGGGGCGTTGGTGGGCTTCGGGGGGGAAATTGCTGGGTGGGGGCCCCCAGGAACAACCATTTCTGGAGACGGGGATACCTGGCCGCGGCGTGGGCGAAATGGGGGGCGTTGGTAGAGCTCGGGCGAGAAGCTGTCGGGTCGGGAGCCCCCAGAACAAACGTCTCTGGGGGTGGGGATGCTGTGCCGTGGCGTGGGCTAGGTGGGAGGCGCTGGTGGATTTCGGTCGAGAAATTGCAGGGTGGGGGGCCCTAAAAACAGACGGCGCTGGAGGTGGGGATGCTGGGCCGCGGCCTGGGCGAGGTGGGGGGCGTTGGCGGGTTTCGGGCGAGAAATTGCGGCGTGGGCCAGGTGGGGGCGCTAGTGGGTTCCGGGCGAGGAATTGCAGGGTGGGAGGTCCCAAGAACTGACGTCTATGGAGGTGGGGATGCTGGGCCGCGGTGTGGGCGAGGTTGGGGCGTGAGTGGGTTTCGGGCGAGAGGTTATAGGTGGGGGGGGCCCGAAAACAGACGTCTCTGGGGGTGGGGATGCCGAGCCGTGGTGTGGGCCAGGTTGGGGGCGCTGGCGGGTTTCGGGCGAGAAATTGTAGGGTGGGGGGCCCCAAGAATTGACGTCTCCGGAGGCGGGGATGCCCGGCCGCGGTGCGGGCGAGGTGGGAGGCGTTGGTAAGAGTCCGCGCGAGAAATTTGGGGAGCTCCCAGAACAGACGTCTCTGGGGATGGGGACGCGGGGCCGTGGTGTGGGCCAGGTGGGAGTCGTTGGTGAGTTTGAGGGGAGAAATTCTAGAGTGGGGGGCCCCAAGGAACAAACGTGTCTGGAGGCGGGGATGCCGGACCGCAGTGCGGGCCAGGTGTGGAGCGTTGGTAGAGCTCGGGCGAGAAATTGTCGGGTGCGGGGGTTTCCCAAAACAGACGTCGGTGGGTGCAGAACAAGGCTCGAGGAACCAGGTGCGATCGGCCGCGGTGGGGGTCTGGGAGGGGAGTGCCGGACGGATTTCTGTTGGGTGAATGGCTTGAAAACTTGTGAAAGTGGCGTGGGGGTGCCAGGACGTGGAGCTGACCTCTCGTGGGAGCTGGGTTTGTCGGCCCAGGAGGTGTCGTTTGGGGGTATTCCAAGATGTCACAAAAATTAGTTCTCGGGGGTGGGGAGGCCGAAGCGAAAAGGCGGGTGCCGGTGAGTTTCACGCCAGGACTTCTCGTGTGGGGGGCTCGAAGAACGGAGTTCTCGGCCTCGAGGACACGCTTCTCCTGACACGTCTCTGGGGTCGGCGGATGTTGATGATGATGATGGTGATGACGCTGCTGATGCTCATGCTGATGGTGTTGTTGTTGCTGATGATGGTGATGATGATGATAATGATGATGGTTATGATGATGCTGATGCTGATGATTCAGATGCTGGTGATGATGATGATGATGATGATGATGATGATGATGATGATGATGAAGTTGCTGATGATGACGATGATGATGATGCTGATCATTAAGCTAATGTTGATGCTGATGGTGATGATGCTGCTGCTGATGATGATGATGATGAGGTTGCTGATGATGATGATGATGATGGTGGTGGTGGTGATGATGCTGATGATGATGCTGATGATGCTGCTGCTGCTGCTGCTGCTGATGATGATGATGATGATGCTGATGATGATGATGATGATGATGATGATGATGATGCTGATGCTGATGCTGATGCTGATGGTGATGATGATGATGATGATGATGATGATGATGATTTCGATGCTGCTGTAACACATGCATATCAATATCTACAACGTTTTCTGGAATCTTCTCGTTGCGAGAAAGTCACGGAGTTTTTTTCTTCATATTTTCGACCTCCAGCCTTCACCGGGCCGCGGGAGCGTCAACGAACGACGCGGGACGGTAAGTTGACCTTTGCGGAGCCGCGTTGCGAACAAACCGAGACGGAAAATGTTTGGCTTTCCAGGATTTCCAGGACTTCTGAAAGTTCCACGCAGGCTGCAGAAATGAGGGCCGCTGGATGCTCTGGAATTCCTGGGGCACATCTTGATTGAATCGTATCATGACATCACTCTCTTCCCAGATGGCCTTCCGAGAAGCCGCTGCTCTCAGAGGTCCTCCCTTCCCGCCGATGGGCTCCCTTGGAGGCCTTTGCGTCGGAGGGGACGCTGTCCTTCTGAAAGGGCCCGCTTGCCATCCCAGCCGGGCCCCCTCCCGTGCCACCGCCCCCCAGATGGCGCGCCACCAGGCGTGGAGGCGAGAACTGCGGGAGGCCAGGAAGGCACAGCGGCGGGCCGGTCGCCCCTCCCCCGGGGGGGGTGTTGTTCCCAGGCTCGAAGGTGCACCCGGCCCCGTTTTGGCCGCGAGCCTTCTTTTGGGCCCATTGCCACCCCCCTTCCTCTCCCAAGAGCGGTTCGTTGTGAGGGGCCCCCATCCCCATCCTCGTCGGACACGGGCAGAATCCTTGGGCGTTTGCGGGCGCCCGAACAAGATGTTCGCTGTGGGAGCCTTTCTGGGCCCCACCTGGCGGATCTGCTCGACTCCGTGTTGCCTCTGGCTTGACTCGAGTTCGGCTCGAGGTCGTTTCGAGTTCGACCCAGGTCGACGGACGTTCGACGCAGCAGCGGCGCACGAGCGGAGCGGGTGGCGCCACGAAGGTCCCCAGAACGAACAGCCAGCACGAGCATAATCTCTGGTCGTCCGCGGACGCCCGAGGCTGCATGTAGTATTCTGCCTCCTGCCCAGACGTGCGATGCCTTGTTTTTTTTGGTACGGCCCCCCTGGAAGTTCCGACCCTTCCCTCGATGAAGTTAAGACATTCAACCCGGACGATGACAGCACTCTGATGCAAGTATTTTGCCAGTATCGGGCTGGCGTTTCGTCCCTTGCGGGGCTCTCCCGAGCCAAACTGACCACTGATCAGGTGCATGAGAAGGTATGGAAGCATTGCTCCAACTGGGCCAGTTTTCCATCGCGAGTCGTTTTTGGATTGTCCTGGGGCCCAGCGAGGGTTCCCGGATGCCGAAAACGGCCGAAAACGGGGTTTCATGACGCGAGCATGCCTGGGGCCCCTGTCCCATGGCGGAGGGGAGCGGGGCAGCCGTGCGGTAGGCCACCCCGGACGACACCTACGCGGACGAGATCGCGGGCTACGCCATCGCTGCCGCGGGCTTTGTTCCGCAACCCGCCCCTCGCTTTCTGGCCCTCGCACTGGTGGCGGCCTCACCCGCTGACAGGGGCGGGCAGTGTTTGAGGTGCAGAATGGGGGCTCTCCCCTTGGTGCGGATGGCAGCGCATCAGCATCACCCAGACGTGTTTCTACTGAGTGTGCGTCGGCCCAGCAGAGGCGAGGCGCGCGCTCCGCAATCTGAATGGCACAAGCACTGTGGCGGGCGCTTTCTGACCATTCTGCTTGAGCAGCGGTATGCTATGTGCTACTTCGTGTTTGTTGTGCTACGTGTTCGGGTCGGACGTGCGTTGCCAACATAACACAATACTAGTATGTCCTTCTGCGTCCCAGTGCAAGCGCATGTGAAGCCTGGTCGTTAAACGAAGTCTATCTTATCCACGCTTGCCCTTGCTTGTTCGTGATCCTCCGCCACTCTCGCTGCCCTGCCTGGCCAGCTCTTGGTCTGCGGTCAGATCGCTTGCCTATCTGAGCATTCTCCCGAGGTCTGAACTTCTTGGAATCCAAACGCTGGCTGTCGACCAGGAGTCTTATGGAACAGTCACGACCAGGGCTCTCGACCGTCCGAGCTGGATCTATCCGTCAGTGTCCCAGGGCAGAACCATGGGGCAGGTGTGCGACACCGAGACGTACAGCTGGCGCGAGGGCTCAGAACGATCCCAGCTTGGGAGCATGCGTGGGCGTTCTCTCCACTCCAGCTCGCTCCCCGCCCGGGGCAGCTCCGTGGGGCCTTGGCCCCTCGACAGAAGGGTTCCATGTTCTCCGCCCGCGCCCTTGTGGTCATTCTTCGACTCCCAACCAGACGTTGTCAGATATGACTCTTTGAATCTGCGGCCCCAGTGCTCCCGACCCCTTGACCCTTTCCCTGGGAGTAGTTTCTCGTCCAGGACCCACCTTCGATGGCCCCAGGGCCCACAAACGGGTACTGGAGGCCCAAGCGGAGGAGCAACGCCAGGACAGAAATCGGGTCGTTGGAGATCTTGGCCCAGATGGCCTGCATCGTGATTTTTGTCCCAGCCTGGCTTCCCAGAGGTCTGGACCCCTTCCCAGGGACCGGCTCTTCTGTCACGAGCCCTCGGCGCGTTCCGTGCGCCGGTGAGGGGGCGGGTAGGGCCCGCGCCGGTCCGATCGGATCCTGTTCGATGCCGCGTTGGATCCTGGGGAGGGGGGTCCCGGGCCGGGGCCCCCGACCCCGAGGGATCTCCGTGCGCGCCGCCGAGAGTTACTGTTCGTGCCCTTCCAGGGGTGCAGCGGGGCGCCCGCCTCTCGTCCTGGGTGCCCGCCGTCGGAAGCCTAGGTGTTGGCGCCAGCACCAGTATCGGCGGTTGCTTCCGCTGAGGGGAGATGACCGCGATTGTCACAGAAAAGCACAAGTTGCCGCAACAAGGAATTATGCTACCGAGGAACCCCACACCATTGCTTGAACCTTCTCCCCCCTCCCCGCCTTCTATCCTCCATCGGGGAAAAGTTTGAGGTGGTCACCGAAGGCCGTCTCCTGGGGCGGCAAGGAGCAATGAGGTAATGCAAGACGATTTGCCACATCGCGGATTGCCAAGAGGCCCACTGTTGCAGTGGGTGCTAACCAACCACCTTGCGCAAACGCTCTAGGGAGCCTCTAGAGTGATCCTTTCTCCATCCCCTCATGCTGTGTTCTCCCGCACCCCTGCCTCACTTTCCCACCTAGGTCGGCTTACCTGTTCTTGACTTATTATTCATGCAGTTTCCACGTCTGCCCTCGCGTCTCTTCGACGGGGAGTTTCTGAGCTGCGCGCGCAAAGGAATTGCAAAGCAAACGTAATCCGCCTGCGTGCAATCTGTGAGCGCCCTTCGATGGGAAACCTTTGGGCTGCGGTTGCCACGAGGACACAAGCTGGGCGGCCGCTCCGAAATCGTCAAGGAGCAGCGCGGGCCGCGCGAATTCGATGCGGCTGGACAGCACCGCCTTTGTCGGAAAGATTCTGGCGGCAGTGCAAATCAACGACCTCACGCCGCCGGCAAGATCCACTGGCGTTCCAGGGCGAGGGTCTCGATCTCAGGCGACTCCGTGGCCATGCGCTCATCGAACTTCTGGAGCGTTTTGAGCACGAATGCAGGCGGGCCCTTCTGCAGGACCTCCCTTGGCGGTGGCCGAACCAACAGCATATCGTCCATGCAAGTGGCTCTGCTGGGCATCGCGTACAGGTGCAGCCACCAGTTCTCCGCCCTCTCCTCCGTTCTGTCAATGCTCATGTCCTGCGCGCAGTCGATGGTCACCCCTGTACGGATCGTTTGGCCCTGTGACGCGGTGAGCGTCAGGAAGCGCCTGTGCGCGAGCGCGCGCCCCGGTGCACTATGTTGGCACACTGCTATGTGCAATGCGCCTCCATTAGCGGGAAGCAGAACAAGGCGTTCGCCTTCTCTTCCTGGATTCCGAAGGAGTTAACGAGACTCTGCTTCTCGAACTTGTGCGCCCGCATCCATATTCTGGCGGGCAGACAGCGCGGACGCGCCAGTCGCGGTTTGGGAGCACGAGTCGAGTGCTTGGAAAGAGGTCGAGAGCTGTTGGGGCGGTGGACTGATGATGATGGAAAGTGCCACGCCTGGCACGCTGTGTCACATACGGGGCATTCCGATCGAAAGCCACAGCCGTGGCCTGGAGCACCCAAGTCGAATGCCCTGCGAGCCTGCAGCGCATGACGCCCCCGCCCCCAGCGCACCCCATTTGGCGTCGAGGAAATGCCACCACGCCTGCCTCGCCCTGCGAGCTTGCTGCGCGTAGCGCCCCCGCCACCAGCGCACCATCTTTGGCGTCGATGAAATGCCACGCCTGCCGCGCCCTGCGAGCCTGCAGCGCATAGCGCCCCCACCACCAGCGCACCCTTTGCGGCGTCGAGGAAATGCCGCGCCTGCCACGCCCTGGGAGCCTGCAGCGCATAGCGCCCCCGCCCTCGGCGCACCCCGTGTGGCGTCGAGGACATGTCACGCCTGCCACGACCTGCCAGCTTGCAAGTCATAGCGCCGAGGAAATGCCACGCCTGTCACGCCCTAGGAGCCTGCAGCGCATAGCGCTCCCGCCCCCGGCGCACCCCGTGTGGCGTCGATGAAATGCCGCGCCAGCCGCGCCCTGCGAGCCTGCACCACGCAGCGCCACAGACCCCCAGCGCGCCCCTTTGTGACGCCGAGGGAATGCCACGCCTGCCACGCCCTGCGAGCCTGCAGCGCATGGCACCCCCACCCCCAGCGCACGGCTCTGTGACGCCGAGGAAATGTCACGCCTGCCACGCCCGGCGAGCCTGCAGCGCATAGCGCCCCCACCATCAGGGCGCCCCCTGTGGCGTCAAGAAATTGCCACGCCTGCTACGGCTTGCGAGCCCGCAACGCATAGCGCCGCCACCCCCAGCGCACCCCCTGTTGCGTCGAGGAAATGCCGCGCCTGCCGCGCCCTACGCGCGAGGAAGTGCCACGCTTGCCACGCCCTGGGAGCCTGCAGCGCGTATCGCTCCCACCCCCAGCGCACCCCCTGTGACATCGAGGAAATGCCGCGCGTACCACGCCGTGCGAGCGTGCAGCGCATAGCGCTCCAACCCCCCAGCGCACTTCCTGTGGCGTCAAAAATATGCCACGCCTGCGATGCCCTGGGCGACCGTGCGCGTACGTTTTGGGTGTATGATGCAGTCCGCCTGTCACGCCTGCCACGCCCAACGAATCTTGAGAGCATGTGTTTTGCTGGTGTGCATTCGTGCAGCTGTATGTAGAACGCGTGTCTCATTTACGTGCTGTGAATGTGCTGCGCGCGGGGGAGGCGAGGAAGTGGAGGAGAGGATGAGGTGGAGGGGAAAAGGGAGGTGTGTGTGGGATGAGACGCGGGTGCGACGCGGCAGGGAAGAGAACCATAACCGCACTAAACATGTAGGGAACAACAACAAAAAAACATCACGATCTCGGTGGTGGTGGTACTGGTCGGGCTTCCCAGGTGGCGGAGAGCTGTACACCACCGTCAACATGTAGGACCATCGGCAGCACCCTGAGCTGTCAGGGCGCCGGGAATGGGGGCACAGACAACGGGAGCACGGGGAACGCCGATTTCCACGTTTGGGTATGCCCCCGTCAAGGGGTCCCTGGGCGCCGTAGAGTTGGCCTTAGTAAACGGGGGCATCTGGAAAAGCCTACGCCCCCGTTCAGCCATGCTCCCGTTTGCGAAGCCCCGAAGTTGGCGTTGGCACCGTTTCCCAGACATTCTCTGGCAACGTGGAGGCGGGCAGCACCTTTCCGCGCGTCGCCAGGGACGGCGCGGCAGTTCCGCGCCGCGCTGACGCGGCGGCGGCCCCCGCTCGGGAGTTCAAGGTGGAACGCCGCCGGTGGCCGTGGTGTTTGATGCTTCAGCGACGCTCCCATGAGCTCTGGATTGGCAATTCAACTCGTCCTTCCACTCATCATGTTCATCATCCTCATCCTCGTCCTCATCATCATCATCGTCGTCGTCATCATCATCGTCGTTATCATATCCATCGTCATAATTGTCATACTCGTCATCATCATCATCATCATCATCATCATCATCATCATCATCATCATCATCATCACGCTGTGGAAATTCCCCCCCTCTTCCTCCGGAACCCCGGGGACCCCCATACCTCCGAAAATCATCCCCCCTGCTCGATCCTTCCCCCCTCCCCCGGTAAGGACCCGCCTCCTACCCCCCCCTCCAGAAAACAAGGGGGGGGGGTACTAGCGATTCGAACCCCTCCCCCCGGGAAAACCGGGGGGGGTCAATACAAGTTCGACCCCCCCCCCTCCGCGCGCCGCAGACAAACGATTCCTGGGTCCCCACCACCGATTCACCACTGTCCCCACCACCACCACCGTCACCACCACTGTCCCTACCACCACCGTCCCCACCATTGTCCCACTGTCCCCACCATTGTCCCAGTCTCCCCACTGTTCCCGCCACTGTCTCCACCAGTGCCCCCGCCACTGTCGCACTGTCTCCATTGTCCCCACCACTGTC